TTGCATGCATGAGGCCCTGGGTTCGATTCCTCAGCACCACATAAGCAGAAAAAGCCGGAAGTGGCACTGTGGCTCAAGTGGTAGAGTGCTAGCCTTGAAGAGCTGAGGGACAGCGCCCAGGCCCAGAGTTCAGGCCCCACAACCGGACCCAAAAGTAAAAAAACAGGAGGTTAAAAAAAAAGAAGAAGAAGAAGAATCAGACTGACATTGGTGATCTTGAGAACCATAAGGGTAAAGGAATCTAGCTAACTATTTAGTTAAAACAAAATAGACAAAATTTTAAGGAGTATGAAGTTTTTCTTAATCAGGAGTTATAATTTCTAACAGAAACTGTATTCTTACTTAGATCAAGATTAATTCTATTCAATAAAAGAAAGAATACTCAGAAACATGTTTACACATATGCTAAAAAATCAGCCTGATGGTATGGAAGAAATTCCTGCTGCCTCATTTTGTTGGATACTTATTTAAAATTAAATTCTTTGGCTCCAGGGTTGTAGCATCTAGGAGCTTAAAAAAGAAAAAGAAAGAAAAAAAGGAGAGGTAGGTATCTCATAACTCTCTGATGAATCAGTTAGAAGCATTGAAGTTATTTCCTGACACCTGCTGCAGGGAGCAGCTGAAGCAAGCAAGGCTGGGCTGGCCTGAGACGGTATAATTAGAAAAGGAAGGCACCAAAGAGTCATTTCTACTTGATAGAGGAACAAAAGAAAAAAAGCTTTACCTCAGATATAGCTTAATTTGGAATGACACCCCTTCTCTTCAGTGGTCTGACAAACAGTCCAAAACCAGGCTTTACAAAAAAAGAAAGTAAAACAGGCAGGAGCAGAAAAGGTCTTTGCTATAAAGATCTATTTAGCACATAATACCCTAAGTTAATAGCGAACACACTGTAGTGGTAATTCAAGATTATAAGACTGTGTTAATGAGTAATTTCCAAGTATCACTATGTTGTCAAGATTTTAAAAATGCCATTTTTGTAGGAGGTTGAATATTCGGTTAAATGGACTTGATTATCAAAGTAATGAATTCATGACTGAGTCCTGTGTCCACTGCATGGGCCTTTTTCCTTTCTTTAGTTTATAAAAGACAGCAGAGTTGCTTTAGGACAAATGGCTGTTCACTCAAGACAATTTCACAAATCTTCATAGCAGAGTATCTTAAAAGAGGCCTATTCTAAATCAGACCGTCCCAGTTCTGTTAAGTAATTACAGGGACTCAACGAAAGAAAAAATGATAAGTTATAGAAAATAAAGAAGTAAATAAACATCTTAACTTTTTTTCCCCATGCTGGTCCTGGGCACTGTCTCTGAGCTTTTGTACTTAAGGCTAGTAGTGCTCTACCACTTTGGGCCACAGCTCTGTTTCCAGCTCTTTGGTAGTTAATTAGAAGTCTGAGTCTCAGACTTTACTGCTTGGCCTGGCTTGGAACCACAATTATCAAATCCCAGCCTCCTGAGAAGCTAGAATTACAGGTGGGAACCACTAGAGCTCGGCTAATATTAACATTTTTACAAGAATATGGTGGTGCACACTCTGTAATTTGTAAGTTCTAGGCCAGCCTGGGCTCATAGTAAGATTCTGACTAAAAAACAAATTAAAAAAAAAAAGGATAAACAGAATCATGCCTATAGACAAGGTTAATTACAACTTTTAGAACTTTTCAGAAACTTTGGCTGGCTTTTGTAAATCTAGACTGAAACCTGATCCACTCACTCACTATATGCACATGGAGGATGAGATAAACACACAATGGCTGGTGCCCTGGGAAGAGAAATGGAGAACCAATATTCCATTCTTCAAAGACAAACCTGGATCCACAATACTTGCACTAACCCTGGAACTGAGCTCTGAAAATAAACCTTAGAAGGTTGGAGAAGGACCTCCAATGACCCAGAAGAAGAAAAAGATATGGAAAAGGAGTCCGAATGTCACAGCCCATTATGTCTACTTGTGAAATAAGAAACACTTTTCTCTCTCCCCTAATCTTTTTCCTCAGTAACCTATGACCTCGTAAAGCCAGATCCAAAAATGCCACTCTACCATTCCTGGTATAACTATAGCAGTGGGCCAAGGGCTGTGGAGAATTGACTAATTCATAAAGAATGCTGTAGAGAGTTATGGGGCCACACCCATTAGTTCATAAATATTCGCCTATATCATCCAACTGTGTTCCTATTTCATCTTGTTTTTTAATCCTTGTTTCTTCCCATTTTTAATATACATGTGATAAAATATTGTATATGCACCAAGTAAACACCCTAACATGCATTCTTGGTTTTACGCTGAGAACCAATTATTTAGTAAGACAAAATTTGGGGCTAGAAGGTTTGTAAGTTTTTAAGGTTCATAATGTACCCTAACAAAACATGCCTTCCAGACATGTTGTGCCAGCCGATAGTCCCAACAGCACATGAAAATGAATCTTAAAAGTTAAGTTTAAATAGTTGTTACTATTTAAACAGGTGAAACTCACCCTTATTTACTGTGCCTTTTGTGAAATTCCTGGTAATACCTTCCCGGGGTTTAGTCTTGTCTTGTTTCCTAGATTTAGTTTTGTTTTATTATGAGAAGAGAGTTCAACTTCTTTTAATTTTGAAGAATTTTGAAAACGTATTGGACATATTATGCATTTGCCATGATATGTTTGTTTCAAAGAAATGCATAAGCATTGGGTACAGTGTTATGGGAATTAACCTCAATATTCAGAGCCACACAAAAATAATTCAATTCACTAAAAAGATTTTTGTAACTAAGGAATTATTTATCCAACCGCCATATCTTAATTAACCATATAAAAATAAAACAACTACCTGACTGTCTACTTAGAAACAGGTAACATTTCTTACTAATGTAAGGTACAGATAAAAATAAATTATATTCTGAAAAGCTTATATTTTACAGGTTAAACTTTCTGGGCTCTCTATGAGAAATTGTAGGGGTATGAAAGCTAATATGCTGAACGAGCCTGACCAATATTAAGTTTCAAAGGCAGAAATAGTCTTAGCTCTGAGCCACACAGTTCATATTACATGAAATGCTTTCAGAAGCTCAAAATACAGATAGGCTGGAGAGTCTCATAAGGTAACACAGAAATGTTTATTTCCTGAGCTTTCTGCTGTTATAGAACTCTACTAAATATATACAAGGACTAAGATGTGACACTGGACACCTCTGATACGACTTGTTGACAATTACAGAATACTAGATGATAGCAATTGAGCTCACCTGGAATATAACCACGCGGAATTTGTTTTTCTTCATTATTTCTTCTTGCTTAGTTTCAACTTTTGTCACGTGAACTTGTTGCTTCTCCACCCGGGCCTTCACATCTTTTATGTGAGCACTGACTTTACGAGTTTTCTCAAATAGTTTGTTAACAACATAGCCAGTGTTGCTATGTGACTGTGAAAGCTTCAACAGATCAATCTGCACAGATTTAATGGCATTTTCCATCTCCCTGTGTCTCTCTTCTATTCTCTTCTGACTTGCCTGTACACTGTCCACGATGGTAGCGACTTTGTCTAGCACAGTCACAATGGTAAGAGCAGCATCTTGGTCTTCGTCTTCGGTAACACTGGACAGACGATTCTGGTGGATTTTATCCGCATTGGAAGCAGACCCATTATGCTCCATTTTATTTGTTTCTCGGTGAAAGGAGTCCTACCCACAATCAATTCTGGCACTTGAAACCAAAAGCCAGCCTGGTAACAGGCAGCAGGGTTGTTTAAAGGGTTGGAAAGCCCCTTGCTGGAGAGTGGTCAAGTATTTATAACTACAAATACCCATTCGTGACTGTCCTGCAATATGAGCCCTTGCAAAGAACTGGGGACTGTTCCAAACATGCTTGCGGACTGACTAAGGGACTCAAATAAGACTGTGTGGGTAGAAGAGGAAAGGTTTTTTTCTTTAAGTTCATTAAAGCCACTGTGTTACAAATATTAAGCCTATAAGCCAAGTAACAAAAAAAGCAACTGACAAATATTGGATGAAATCTTTTGTCTTAAGATCATTTGTAAAAGCAAAGGGGAATTGCTTTGTCTACTAATTTCATTATTATGTAGACTGATCTATCAATACCAAACAATATAGTAAATAACCACACCAAAACAGAGGCCATATAGAGAAAATGTTATATTATAACATGCTTTTCCAAACCAAATATGAAAATTAATATTTAATTTTGAACATAGTCTTTGAATTCTACATGCATACTTTTGAGTACCTAAACTACACGTTAAACAGCTCAATACATTCTACTCACACTTCAGACTTTTAAACAACAACAATCTATTCATCTAGCTATTACTATAGGACAAATTTGAGAGAGATCTTGGGTCATTTTTTTAAGCTCAATTGAAGAGCACCAATCATTAACAATCATTTTTTGTATTATATTCACAAACACTTGATACAATTTATGTTAAAACAAATAGTCTGCTTAAAAATGAATGTGTATTAAAGTAGTTTAACTGAGAGTGTAGGCTTCATCCCAATCTGTTAACAGTCTATTTTGACAATACCTAAATCTACTTTTCAATGATTTGTTTCCCTTATTACTAGTACCAGGTAATTTTATTTCAAATTATTAGTTTTTTTTTCAAAGAAGAATAATTAAATTCCAGTCCATCTTATAAATAATTTACATCTAACACACACAGCTTTACAGTTCATGCAGTAGGCAGTGTCTAAAAAAATCAGATACTAAATCTCAAAAACATTTAAATATCTATTTAAACACAGTGTCTTCTAGATTTTTTTTTGTAAGAAAAGTAATCTGTAAACATCTTTACCTTTAGTTCATGCTTGGTCAATTTGCAATGGTCACTGGGAGAGAAGTATGACTTTAGAACCATTTGTGAAGTGGGTCCGTCTTTGCAAAAATATTACATTCCGTGGGTAAAGAACAAGGTTTTAGTATTACCATGTGGTACAAATCTGTGAAACCAATTTCTGTATTTAAAAACATAAAACAAAGACTACTAAACAGTCCAAAACTGTTGTAGCTAAATATTCTAAATACGAGCCAACAGTACTACACTAAAAATGTCCAAAAATAAGGCCTCTGAAATAAATGTTTCCATTCTTTAAAAAAAGACATCGTAAATGTACATCACATGGTCAGTGTGCATATAAAAGTTATCCATTTAAACCATTCTGGAGGATGTATCTGAAGTAAAATGGCCTAGGTTCTGCTTCTGTCGACGTCCTCTATTGTTCTTGGGGCATTTTCTGTTCCATACAAAAAAGAAGAAAAAAGAGGAAAAGATCAATTGAACCATTTTGTTAAAGAGATTTCAAGTGTTTCTGAGTAATACACATTTCGCATACAAAATCCTATTGCATGTGTTTATACACAGAGACACCATGAAGCTAACTGATACACGTTATGTATTTGCAAGATAAAAGTGATAGCAGATTGTTACCTATCAAACTGGGAGGTAGAAAGATCAGACATATATTTAGGAACAGGGACAAGCAAAACTGCTACACATGCATTCCTGAGAAGAATGCCTACCCCACTGGCCTGACCACAGTGACTAACAACATTAAAAACAACAATAAAACAAAACAAAACAAAAGCCTGTGATCATAGAAGACTTTGGCCAGTGTATTGTCTCCTGAGCATTGTCACATTCCTAAAATGACAAGTTTAGATGAAGGCTGAAATCAGAAAGAATTGCGCTTCTAACATCAAATTTGAACATCTTGAAATGTTCACTGATTTTAGATTATAACTCACAATGAATGTGCTCTGTCCACATGTTGACAGGGCATTCCACAGAACCCACAGGGAAAGTGTGACTACCGACTTGTGCTCTTCTTTTACTAGAAATGCTTTCCTACTGAGAAGCAGCTCTCATGGTACCATAACTGCTCTTCTCCTTGCTCACTACATCACAAACTTGGCACTGTCTATGCCCAAGGTGCTGGGTTATGCAAAGTAGAAAGGCTAGGAAACATTCTGGTAATTTTGTTTGAGTCCTAATAACTAGCTATGCCACTTCGATATTCCTTAATGGAATGAAAATCTTAGAATAATGAAGCCTCCTACTCTAATATTCTACATTTTTATCCCATTCCCAAGGGCACTGTTTTGCCTTTAAAAGACTTAATGGTTTTTTTTTTTTTTTGGTTCGTCGTGGGGCTTGAACTCTGGGCCTGGGCGCTGTCCCTGAGCTCTTCAGCTCAAGGCGGGCGCTCTACCACTTGAGCTGCAGCGCCACTTCCGGTTTTCTGGTGGTTTATTGGAGATAGGAGTCTCACAGTCTCTCCTGCCCAGGCTGGCTTTGAACCGAGATCCTCAGATCTCAGCCTCCTGAGTAGCTAGGATTACAGGCGTGAACCACCAGCGCCCGGCTTGTAGATGGTTTTTAAAAGATTTTTCTCACTAATTTTCATAAAACATAGTTTTGAGGGAGATAGAGCTGGAATCATAGCAATTTCATAAATGAGGAAATGAGTTAAGAAGTCAAAACCCTCTTGAACCATCTAGGCCTAAAGCATCTATCCCTAACTGACTACCTTTGGGAAAGTCCCAGCCTTTCCAGAGGCGTGGCTTTTTTTTTCCTACAAGATAAAGGAAGTATATATAGCTATGATTGATGCCCTGCCTATCTGTGATCCATGAGTCTAAAAACATGCAAAAAAGACTATCAGCACCCAAGAAGAAAATATGATTCAGAGACTTGATGAGCATGTCAGTGGGAACATGGGAACATCTTTTAAAGGAAAATTCTTCAACAAGCAACAGTAACCACAAGATAGATGAACAGCTGTCCCATAATGGACTGTGTGGGAGAGGCATGCCTGAAAATTCAATGATGATAAGTCCACAGACATAATTATAACATTTCAAATACAAGACAGCAAGACTGTCTGGGTAAGAAGGGAGAACACTAAAATAAAAAGGCCTCAAGGAGGAATCTGTAATAAATACACTGAGATAACCCTCCAGTCACAGAGTAGTGAAGACACTGTCACGTTGGGGTCCAAGTGATGGTGAAGGTAGCAAATGGATCTCAAATAGAAACTCAAGGACACCAACACAGCGAACACCAGCCAGGTAACTTTAGTAGCTGGGGATTATGGAACACTAAGAGCAGAAATACACGGTGGGGAAAAGGCTAGATCCGGATTAGGCTGGAAAAGGATTTGCCTAACTCTCTAGCTTGGGGCAAGATACTTTCCAACTGAGGAAGTTAGCTTCCTCTCACTTCAAATGAGAAGTCAGCTCCCCCACTTCTCTAAGGAGAGGATTGAACTCAAAGCCACTTCCCAATGCTCTACCCTATGATACTCTTATAGGGTACTGTACTATCTCCCAGCCTTCTCTAACTCATTCCTCTTTCACCTTCTAAAGCATTGATCTCTATCCTCTTGCTTTACTCTATTCTATACATAACCTTTCAATTAATGCTCTAGAAAAATGGTTTATACCAAGTTACTCCCTTGGTTGAAAACCCTAAACTGCAACAAAAATGAAGTTCGCCCCTGCTTTCCATTCAACAGTCACACCTGGCAAACCTATTTCTCAATATGCCTCACTATTGATCTGCCCCTTGATGACTCAGTGGAAAGAGGAACGATTAAGGAATTAGACACCCATGAATAGAATCTCAGATACTTCCACTTACTAGTTGGATGACTACAGTCAAACTTAACCTCTCAGGCCTGTGCTACATGACCACAACTACCTTGCTGTTGATCTACTGACCAATTGTATACTTAGTCAGCTTGCCTAAAGGCAGATCAGACTTCAGTGCTTGAATTACATGACAAATATCCATTACTCAGAGAACTTTTTTTTTAATCATTTTTAGATTTATCGTATCAGCTGCAGATGGTTGAGACTAAAAGTCTGGCTTCCTAACCCGACCTTGGATAGAAAAGCCATATATCCACGATACCATGCCAATGTCTGTCTTTCGTATGATCCAATGCTCTGCCCAGAAAAATGCAGAAAGTACAAACATGGTATCTACAGAACAGCTGAACCTTAACAGAAGTAAAAAGAAAACGTATGAGCCTTGGAAGCACCATTTGCTCCGACTTTTCTAGGGTCTGACACACATTTCCACTCAGCTTAGAAAAACACCCATTTTATGCCAATTACATTTCAAATGAGTTATTTCATTACAGCAAATGGTTTTATATACAACACAGAATTTTAAAGTCTGTGACTTGTCACTATAATCTAGAATATGAAATAATGTCAAGACAATGACATAGTAAGAAAAGTAGTTATCCTTAATTAACAGGAATAAAGTATATTGCCAGAGCATGAAACACATTACAGCTGTGCAGGTTTTAAGACATTGCTACATGGCTTTTCTGTGCAGGTACAGAACATTCTAGAAACTCTGCTACTACCATAACTGCACTGAATGCAGTGCGAGTACTACGCAGTGCTAAGATCTCTAAATTCCTTTTTTCCACTGACGGTTCTTATAGTCTCTGTGCCTGTAACCTAGATATGTCTCTAACCTCACAAATGAGCTCTGATCAGTACTCTAAAGAAGCAAGACAGGAAGAGGTCAGACTTACATGAGAATGTCAGAGAATGGACTCTAGGATTTCTCCCTAATAGACTAGTAAACTTCAGGCCCCTATCACCTTGAGTATGCTTCAAGGTT